TTAATGTTCTTGCAAAAGTGGAGAGATAGGGAATATATATAGATATATGTATGTATGTATACACGGTCTATGTACATATACATACACGCGCGCGTCCGTGTACGTAAGAAGATAGCAAACATAGGACACGCTTAAATAGAGAATATCTACGAGAAGTAAAGGCTAAGAAAGAAAGAAAAAAATAAACATACCATAAAAATTATCTTTTCTCTTTCATTTCTGTTTTACGAAATATACTGTATGTGAAAAAATGCCTACCGGAGCAGCCTGGTTATGTAGTCAGGCCAGTTGTCCGGGAACATCACGAGGAAGAAGCCGACCGCTATAAATATCATTCCTGCCAGTTTCATTCCCATAAACTGGGCTCCGTATAAAAGGACATCCAACGCTGTAACAGAATTGTACGATCAGACACCTGGTACAATAATTTATCGTCGACCCTCTACAACGCGAACGTTAATTCCTTTGGTTCGTATAACAAAATTGAATCTTCTCTCTGATTCAGAGATTACACCAGCATTGTAGAGGGTCGAGGGAGTCTAATTATATCTGTTTTGAGCATACCAGCAGACACAGGTACGGCGGTGATCAGTCCTAGCGTTATGAACAGGTCATAGGTCAGGGCAATACTGAAGTTCCCGAGCATATTTGCAACTGTCGAATAAAATATTCAGAATAATTAATAGTCTCGTGAATAATTCAGACTACGGATCTTTAAAGGTCTATTAAAAAGATGGGTAAACGTTTAAACGTTGAAATATTTTCCTCCAGTTCCTTTTGACAGTCTGAATTGTTTTATACGTTACACGGGGCATTTATCATTTCTGCATAATCAATTTTCTTATAACGTAAAATCCGCTGTCTGTGACTTGGAAAACAGAAATCGACGATAAGTACTCAGACATGAATGTACGAACCTAAGTGCAGAACGCTTGCCGAGAGCAGGGCTGTCCAGGGTAACCGTCCCCAGTGGATGCTCTCCGCCCCCGAGAAGTAAAGAGCCAAGCAAACCGGCCACAACAACGCCGCGTTACACAACCCGATAAGAGAAAAGAACAAAGACATTTGACCGAACGTAGTTTCTCCTATCACTTTTTTAAACAGCACCTGGTTCAATATCATAAATCTCATTAGTCTCATTTACAAGGATACTGTCATAAATATTCGAACATTGCAGTACTTGCAAAGTCTTCTTATGTACAGAAAGAGTAAAACTGAACACCCTTTAAAGATGCATTGGCTATACAGTCAATCCCAAAAGTTTATACACTTTAGAAACGCATTTTTTAAAAAGAAATCAGATGTCGGAAGAACGTTGCTAATAATAAACAACAAAAAAAATTTTCGATTTTTCCGACATTTTTCCAAGGGGGTACCCCTTCAATTTCTTCCAAATTTTCGTTTTTTGCCAATAACTTCCAAACGGATCGACTTAGAGGAAGATTTATAGGACCATTTTGTAGAGGATGACGAGATCTACAATTTATGTATAAAATTTTTTCGCTAGCCTCAATAGTTTACGAGTAATTCGCAAAAAACTGTTTTTTCGTTTTTCGTCAATAACTCGTAAACTATTAATGCTAGCGACAAACTTTTATACAAAAATTGTACATCTCGTCGTCCTCTACAAGAAAGATTCATATGCAATTTTCTCGTAAGTCTAACGGTTTAGGAGTAATTGAGGAAAAACGAAACTTTTTGCCAAAAGTTCACCATTTCGACGGTGGGACGGTCGGATTTTCTCAAGACCCATAAAATGCCGATTAATCATAGTTAGCTTGTTAAATATCGAAGTTAGGAGGAAAACAACTTTCATTTGAAGCATTTTTTGAAATTTTGAAGATGTTTTATACTATAGCTCAATGGTGCTGGCATAATATTCCAGACAGTACCGACATCCTCGACACCGACGCCGACTAGTTTCGATTACACCCGTTTTCGTAATGTCACCGAGGAGAGATTACTAAAGAGTGGCAACGCCTGTGTTAACGCGCGGCCCGAAAAAAGGGCCCAAGAGGGCTCGAACCGGCAAGGTAGATTCATGAAATCCCACAGAATGACTGTTCCGGAGTGTACCGACCTTCAGGCTCACCGATGCCGGTGCCGATGCTTTTTTCCAGCACGATAGGTAATAGGTAATCGTAGAACGTTGATATTATCAACTTTATACTT